TTTTTTTTTCTCCATTGCCTAGTACAGTAGTACCTGATATGTGGAAGTCACTTAATACATGCTTCTTTATTAACTAATGTGAATCCTAGCTTTGTCACATTGTGCTTGCATAAGCCTGGAAAGGTTGCTTAAACTCTCTGGACCTCAGTTTCTTTGTCTGTAAAACAAAGAAGCTGAACTTGACTTGTAACATCCTTTCCAGCTCTAAATGTTATTGCCTTCCCCATCAGTTTGGGAATTCCCCAAAGACAGATAACTACATTTTTTATTTTCTGCTTTTTAGCATAGAGCCCTTACCAAAGTACATCCACAATCAATAACATTGGTGGTGTCGCACACAGTGCCTTGCCTAATAAATGTTTGTTGTGTTGAACCAAATTGACTGACTGCCAGATGCTCACTAGAATAGCTTCTTTACCTCATAAATGCAAAGACTTACAGTCCCTTTAAATAATAGAGACCTTCTCCTCTCACCCCTCACCCCCAACCTCTGGTCTTCCCTCCTTTCATTTGCAGTGATAGCATTTACCAAACAACCCAGGGAGATCTCCAGCAAACGGCCAGGCCCTAATTTGGCTGCATGTATGGTACAATTAAACACTGGGTTTCAACTGTAACTATAGTAGACAGCAACACTGCACAGATGACTTATTAATATATTATTATACTGATATTTAAATGTGAGGTATAATGACAGCTATAAAGCATTTACGATAACAGCAATTACGCCAGAACCAAAATGGCAAAACACTGTATTCAGACTTTGACGATTTGGCACCTGGACCTGCTCAACTCAGAACCACCAGCATTTTGTGGTGGGGGCTTATGGGGTGGGGCCACAATTAAACTCTCAAGTGCTGATCCCTCTAGCAGATTTTACCTGAGGAAGAAGCCCACTTTTGCTTCTGGTTTGCCATGGCACCGTAAAAACACCCCAATCTGGAATCCCCACATGTTTTGGAGATTAATTCATAGAGAGTGGTTGAAAGAACTGAGGATGTTTAGTGGGGGAGAAGAAAACGTTGGAGGTGAGGGGCTGAATGTGCATGATAGCTGTCTTCAATTATTTGAAGGCCTGTCATAGAGAAGAGAAATGTTTCTGGTTCTGCTTGGTCCCTACATGGCAGGAGCCATGCAGGAAGAGACAAAAGGCAGATCTAGGTTTGGTCCAGACCTGGAATTTCATTGATATGGGGGCAACTGCCATATAGAAATTCCATTCACTAATGTTGGTATAGTTTAATGAAGTGTGTGAGGAACTGAGAAGGTAAGTGGTCACACAGCTGTCAAGAGGTAAGATTTGAACTCATGTCTTCACTATGCTAAGGCTGCCCCTGAGTCTACTGTGCCTGCTAGCTGTCTGTTCAGCAAAAGCTTCTTTACAATGAGAATGACCTGAAAGTGGACTGGAGTAGCTAGGTAGCGCCATAGTGCACAAAGCACAGGGCCTGGAGTCCGGAAGACTCATCTTCCTGAGTTCAAATCTTGTCTCAGGCACTTACTAAGTGTGTGACCCTGGGCAAGTCACTTAACCCTGTTTACCTCAGTTTCCTCATCTATAAAAGGAGCTAGAGAAGGGAATAGCAAACTACTTCAGTATCTTTGCCAAGAAAACCCCAAATGGGGCCACAGAGAGTCAGACTTGACTAACACAGTTGAACAACAACAATAAAAGTGGACTATCTTGAGAGGGAGGGAGCTCCCTCTCGCTGATGTTGTTGAGGGGATTTTTCAATATGTTGTGTTTAGGTGTAGTCTAAAGAACTCTGAAAATCCTTCCAAATCTTGGTGTCTGTGGTTTTGTGGATAAATCGGGGACATATCACACCTCCTATTATTCTCTGTCACCAGTCCCTAGGGCAAGCCCCCTCTCCAGTAACCCCGACGTGTTGTAGCCTTCACACTGCTTGCTGCTCTCCGTTGGAGAAATTAGTGTGGAATGGCTCGGTGTGCCTGCTCTTAGATTCTAGACAGTAGTGTGCTGGTAAGTGTTTAACAACTGGTTCTCTGGGAGTGGTGGGGGGGAAGGGGGAAGGAATACCCATGGCATACTTTAAAGTGTAATCTGCAGTGTTAACATTTTCTCCATTACTTTCTTAAGTTTAGATGAAACAAAACAAAAAGTCAAGCTCTGATTTGTAGTACTTGCTTATTTCCAAGGTGTAAATGCTCACACTGAAAAGTTAACAATCAGCTCTCCTGGAAAGGTAGCTAGGAGACTCATTATAAGGGGCTTCCAATGGTAGAGGGAGAAATTTAAATTTCTTCCTAGAGGGAATGATAAACTCCTGAAGATTTTCAGCAGAGGAATGACATGGTTAAACCTGTTTTTAAAGATTATTTCGGCAGAGGTTATAACATTGGTAATACCAGCATGGCTGCATTGTATCTCTGATCCTCAGTTTCCTCATATGTAACATGGAGATAATAGCTTGATGACCCATTTCACAAGGCTATTTTGAGGAAGATTTTGTAAAATTTAAAGCATTGTAGAATCATGAACTGTTAATATATTAATTGTGACTGTTACAAAGGCTTATTGACATTTTGGCTGCAACATTTATTATTGCATGTCTTTTGTTTTTGTTGCACATCAGTCTCTGAATGTGTCCTTCCTTTACCAAGGAAGCCATTTCATGTGACAGAGACTAAAAAAAAAAGGAGAATAATAAAACAATAATTGATAATAATAATAATAATAATAATAATGCTATCTGGCACTTGTTTAGTGCTTTAAGGTTTTCAAAGTGGTTTACATGTTTTCTCATTTGATCTTTGCAATACTCTTGTGAGGTAGGTACAATTATTATCCCCATTTGACTGTTGAAAAAAATGAGGCTAAGAGAATCAGGGTGACATAGCTAGAAAGTGTCTGAGGTAAGATTTGAACTTGAATTTTCCTGATTCCAAATCCAGCTCTTCACTGGACCACTCCAGAAATTGTTTGGACAGTATATGTGATACCCGCACACCAACAGTCTCCCACCTCTTAAATGAAAGGAGGTGATATGCATTTTCTCAACTCTTCTCCAAGGTTGATCATAATGTGTTTATTTTTTGTTCCATTGCTCTAAATGTTATCCTAAAGCTGTGAAAGAGTTAACTTCTCACTAGCACACAATTAACTAATGGAGTGACTTGGGGCACTAGAAAATATTTGACTCATTAACAATAATTGAGGACAATCAAAGATACTACAGCAGAGAGGGAAAATTATTGGCTTGGGAATCAAGAGTCATTGGTTATAGCCTTGACTTTGCCACTAATTAATACTGTGATTTTGGGCTTGTCACTTCAACTCATCAATTCAATTAAACAAGCATTAAGGCCCTACTGTGTGCTGAGGACTATGCCAGTCAATGAGGAGATAGATGATTTTTTTTATTGTGTAGTTATAAGTCAAGGAAGGATTAATTAGATGCTGTCTCTAGCTCTAAAATTCTCTAATTCTGTGATATCTTCTTGATATATGTATGTATGTATGTATGTTGTTTCAGTCACATCCGACTCTTCATGACCTCATTTGGAGTTCTCTTGGCAAAGATAATAGAGCTGTTTGCCATTTCCTTCTCCAGCTCATTTGATAGAAGAGGAAATTGAGGTAACCAGGGTTAAATGATTTGCCCAGGGTTAAATGACACTAGTTCAAGTGTCTGAGGCCAGTTTTGAACTCAGGAAGATGAGTCTTCCTGACTCCAGTCCTGGTGCTCTATGCACTATGGTGCCACCTAGCTGCCCTATAAATACATATATATATATATATATATATATGAAATATATATATATATGTGTGTGTGTGTGTGTAAATATCAACGTATATATGAATGTATATATGTATGAAACTCCCTCCTTCCTTTGAAAATCTTAGCGGAAATATCAGCTCAGAATGAAAGAGCAGGGATGATCACCCTCACTTTATGGAGGGAGCCACAGAGGCCCAGAGATAATAGGTGACTTTTACAAGGATATACAATGAAACAAGTGATAGTGCGAGGCTTACTAGGCTAAGGCCCATCTTTAGTGCACTACTGTGCAAGCCTGCATATAAGCTATGATTCATGACATGGAAGGACATACAGGCCAAACCTACTGTCACAGACTAAGGAAACCCTGATTTTGATTTTAAATTGATTTTCTCCTCTTTCTCTTCCTTCCTCCCCTTTTCATCTTCCTCCTCCCCCTCTTTCCTTTTCCTCCTTCCTCTTCCTTCCCCTCCATTTTTTTCCTCCTTCTGTGTCTTCTCTCTTTCCTCTTTTCTCTTGATCCCTCCTTGTCCCTATCTCTCTCTCTCTGCAATTACTCAGCAACTTTCCTATTGGAAACGGAAAAAAACAAAAACAAAAAGGAAGAAGAAAAGAAACCCGCCTATTCTGATTGCTACAAGTGGAGACCCGACCATGGGCTAGCTACAAGGCTCTTTGGTGAATACAGAGATGCCTTCACCTGCCAGGTAAGGTAAACACATGGGCCCGTGGTTGGAGCCTGGGTTAGGAGGAGGCTAAGACCATCAGAAACGGCACAGAATCCCAACGTAGTTAGCGGGTTTGGGAGGGGAGCAAGCTAAGGAAAAAGCTGCGATCAAAATAGTCTACTATCTCTGTCTCTGCCTACTCTCCCCTTCCCAGAAACTGATTGAGCTGAATACAGATCATATGGAGCACTCAGTGTTTTTGGCTACTGGTAGAAGCTTTGAGGAGGAGATTTGGACCCTGCAAATAACAAGCCGCTGGCTCTCTCGGGATGTGAACTGCAGTTACACTTGAAGAGTCCCAACTTTGCTTCTTTTCCCATCCTAGCTTCTGGGTCCCTCTTGCTGAATGCCAGGAGCTCATTTGCCTAGTTCTGTAGATGCTCCCTAATCTTGCTCAGGATAGACATCTTTGATCTGGAGGATCTGGGCCTGGCTGGAGCAGCCTCGGCGCTGGCAGCCTTAACAAGGCTGACATTTCCCTCTGTCTCCTCTGATTAGGCCACTGCTTTATCATTGTGTGCTTTCCTGGCTCTGGGTGTAATCTGTGTGTTGTGTGTCCATAACACCATGTAATTGGCTCTAATGCAACAATATTATCTATGTGCATGCAATGGATAATTGCAAAACTGGGCATCTGTAGCTGATGCCACTCTAGCCTGCCTGCCTGCCATTCTTCTGGGCTGCTCCCAGGTTCAGCTGGGAATCGAGGGCCTTTCACAGACTCCTAAGGTTGGACAGGCCCCCATGTAGGTTATCCAGTTTGTTTCTGTGTTGAAGGAAGATGGCTCTTGCCTAAGCCCAAACAGTGAGGGTCTCTCTTACATTCAAAATTTCAAAGCCTCTTTGGGCAGCTCTCAGAACCTGAGGCAGCCAGATTCTCTCCTCTGCCCATATATGTAGCCTGGAGATGCACTATTCTGTATATTATTGGAAAAAATTAGTATGTTCTGTCCATCAGTGGTTCTTCCCCTAATGGACTTTAAACGTGCTCAGTTCCAATTCTTAGGAGTGTACACGCTTCAGATAAGTGAGGCTAAATCAACATCAAAACAAAAATTATTTGGTGGACACCTACTATGTGCGAGATGTTGTGTTAGGTGCTTCAGGAGCTTTTTAATTTTGTTTTTAGCTTTTGGAATAGGGTATTATAGGTTCAGAAGGAGCCTGCAACAGTGTAGTGGGGGTAAGGGGAAGGGGGGAAAGGAAGGAAGATTAGCTGGACCTCATCTTCCTCCCTGGGTTAGTTGGCTCATCCCTCAACCAAAGTAACAAAGTCAGGGAAGTTTAATGCCTGAAATAAGGGAGGTCTGTTAGCCATACTAACCTCCCAGTTTAAACAACACCCTCTCCAAAAGAACCCCCCAAATGCAAAATTTAAAATAGATAGGAGAGAGCAGAATACTAGGATTCAATTAGAAGTAGTGTTGTGTAATAGGGTACTCCTAGCTCAGGAATTAGGAAGGCCTTGGTTTCAAATCCTACCTCAGACACTTCTTAGCTGTGTAACTACCGGCAGATCCCAACCTCTTTGAACTTCAGTTTCTAAGATGAGGGAATCAAACTTGACCTTGAAGGTCCCTTCCAACTCTAAATCTAAAATCCTATGAATACCAAGGTCCATGGGAACACCAGGGTACAAAGACCAAAAGGAGACTTGCCAAAATTGGGTAACACTTCCTGCCCTAGAATTTGGATAATGGTCAAGGAAGGCTGCCTGGCCTCTTAGGATGCAAAGACTTCTGCCTTGGAAAATGGTCATGGAAGAACAGGTTTTACAGACAACCTGCTGCTCCTCATCACAGAGGAAGGTGACCCCTGAAGACCCTTTCCCTTCATGGGCAGAGGTAACTTTTTTGTATCCTGCCCCCTCTCACAGGTAGGACCATCAAGACCCATAGTCTCTCTTAAACCAATTCATCTTCTCAGTGGCAATGTGATTTTCCCATAATCCATACCTATGTCACACCCCCTCCCCACTCAATAAACTCAGAGATAAAATCTATAATAATCTATAATATATTGTATAATAGTTAATATAATTTATAGTAATCTATAATAAGCTATAATCTCCACGATCAAACATAAAACCTTCTGTTTGGCCTGTAAAGCCCTTACAACTGGCCCCTTCCCACCTCTTTTCTGGTTTTTATATTTATTTGTCTCCAATATTATGACCCTGTGACCTGGCCCTGCTATTCCTTGCACACAAAATTCCATCCACTTTTTCAATGCCTGTTGCCTGTCCTTGGGATGCCTTCCTTCCTCATCTCCGCTTCCCAATTTCCCTGGCTTCCTTTAAGACTCAGCTCAAATCCCACCTTCTCCAGTTATTACCCCCAATTATGCCTGTATACATAGCACTGGTGCATAGTTGTTTTCATGATATCTCCCCCATGCTTCTGGAGAGCAGGATCTTTCTTTGTATCTCTGACACTTGGCACAACATCTAACACATAGTAAGCACTTAATAAATGCTGACTGACCTTCTGCAAGAAATCTTTCTTTCTGGTTTCTGTTCTCTATTCCCCCTCTGTCTGAGATTTTGCTGTTATTCAGTCGTTTCAGTCATGTCTGAGTCTTCATGACTCCATTTGGGGTTTCCTTGGCAAATATAATGGAGTGGTTTGCCATTTCCTTCTCCAGCTCATTACAGATGAGGAAACTGAGGCAAACAGAAGTAAGTGACTTGCCCAGGGTCATACAACTAATAAGTGTCCGAGGCCAGATTTGAACTCAGGGAGATGGGTCTTCCTGACTTGAGACCTGGCACTCTATTTACTGCACCACCTCACAGCTGCTCTCTCTGACATGACCATATATGCATGCATGCATGCATACATACACATAGACACATGTGTCTATGTGTATATATGTACATATGCTATATAAATATTAGCTATAGATAGATATTGATTTAGAGAGTTTCAGTTTAGAGAAAGTGCTCCTATTATCCCACTGCTGAAGCTATTCTCATGTATGTATAATGGAGGCAGAGAGGAAGGATGATCTGATGCTAATAAGTTTTGTTGACTCTGTGTGTGTGTGTGCATTATGTATGTAGCACATTATACATATAACATGTAAATATTACACATACACATATTTATGTGTATATGTATATATGTGTGTATACATACATGCATGCATGCGTGCATTCACGCACACATACATATGTTTATGTCACTTACTATGTGCCAGGTACTCAGAATAAAACCCTCTAAGGGTTTTACAATGATTATTTCATTTGATCTTCACAACAACCCTAGGAAGTGGGTGTTATTATTATCCCCAATTTACAGATGAGAAAACTGAGGCAGACAGAAGATAACTGCCTTACTCAGGGTCACAGAGCTAGTGAATTCCTCAGGCTGAATTTGAACTCAGTTCTTCCTGACTCCAGGCCCAGGGCTCTATCCCCTGCACCCTTCTTCACATGCTGTCTTCTCTAACAAAATGTGTGCTCCTTGAGGGCAGAGACTATTTTGACCTTTCTTTGTACCTCAGCCCTGAGCACTCTGCCCACTGCATGATAAGGGCATAGGAAACGCTTGTGAAGACTTTTCCCTATCCTCTCCTGTGAGTTATGATCAGCAAAGATCCCAACAGAGGCAGCTGATCGCCAGAAGCGCCATGAAACAAGGTCTGCAGGCTCCTTCCTGAGTGTGGGCCATTAGTCCCAGCACTACCATCCTCCCTGCCTAGAAATCATCTTCATGCTACTGTGCTGAGTCAGCTCCATTAGAATGCATACAGAATGTATATTCTTTGCTGAGGCTGCACTATTGATCGCATGCAAGAGGGACCAGTTTGAGTTGAGGAAAGAGTATCGCTACTCTTCCTCTAGACCCAGGACACTAGCCCAATATCAAGTCTTTCCTCCTCACTGCCAGCAACTTGCCTGCTTCTGAATAACAATAACTACAAAAACACTTTGCGCTGATAATAGGTAATCCTGCCCCACCAAAAATAATAACCTTGTATTTGTTTTCTACATAATGATATGTACATCCTGTCTCTTCTTATAGAATGTAGTAACCTCCTCCTGGGCAAGGAGATGACATTTTTGTCTTTGTGTCCAATGCCCAGCATATAGTTGATGCTTAATAAATGCTTGATTGGTTGATGGGTAATAGGACTTTATCATTTATAAAGCATTACAACATACATTATGTCTTTTGATCTTTATAATAATCCAGTGAGGAAAGCAGGGTAGGCATTATTCTTTCCTTTTCACAGACAGAGAAACTAAAAAGCAAGGTGAATAGTACAATTTCATGTAGTCAGTAAGTAGCAGAGTTTAGCTTATAAGCACTCTTTCCTTGAATTATTTTTGTACATATGTATGTACGTACGTATGTATGTATGTGGGGTACCTAGGTGGTGCAGTGGATAGAGTGCCAGCCCTCAAGTCAGGAAGACTCTTCTTCCTAAGTTCAAATCTGGCCTCAGATACTTACAGATACTTACTGTGTGACCCTGAGCAAGTCACTTAAGTCTGTTTGCCTCAGTTTCCTCATCTGTAAAATGAGCTGGAGAAGGAAATACTAAGAAAACCCCAAAAGAGGTCACAAAGAGTCAGACATGACTGAAAAATGACTCAACAACATGTATGTATGTATCTATTTATGTATGTTATTACCTACCCCATCCCCAATAGAATGTAAGCTCCTTAACAGGTTTTCATTTTATTTTGGTAACCTAGTACCTAGCACATCCTAGGTGCTTAATAAATGCTTATTGAGTTGGACTGAACTAGAACCCAGGTCTTTTGACTCCTAATCTAGTTACTATTTTTTTCCCCTGCATCATTCTTCTTTCCATACAAAGTCAATTCATTACCCTATATCACACCCAACCTTTTTGGAAAGCATTTTGTCAGCTGTAAAGCAGTATATAAATAACATTATTGTTACTGTTTATTTCCTCCCTAAGCTGCCAGTTGCCTGCCCTTGTTGAAGGCCTTCGCAAACTCTAAAAGGGGAAGAGGAAGAACGTATCTTTCAAGAAAACCTAATTGGCATGGACACAGCTCGAGCGTGAACTCTCTTCTGTTTTTCAGCAGGCAGGGGGTGGATCACACCATTCTTATACGAACTGTCTGCTCTGCTCTCTGCAGTAGGTGCTTAATAAACCTTCATCGTATTGTAATGTACTGTCTATTCCCATGGGCAAGGGCTGTGCTCAACCCAAATGCTGAGCAACAAAATTCGTCAGCATCATAACTAAGTCCCTTCCTGTCTGCCTACATTATACACAGAAGGGAATTGTCTCAGCAGTGGGCTAACAGGGAATATTCTCTCTTACCCAGGCTCCCCTGATTCTGCCTTGGGTCTGGTGGTCAAAAGCAGTCAATGGGACTTTTGGAGCTGCAATGGGAGGAGTGTGGAGATGCCTCTCACTCAGCCTCTTATTTTAGCCTATATCCTGGGTGCTGCAGTTTACTAAATTCTTTGATCTCTCTGAGGACCATTTAAATTAAAGCTCATAACCACTGTGTGGGCATATAATGAAAGCAACTGATGCTGCACTGATTAATCCATTACTCTCAACTGTTAGAAAACATAATGATCTCACAAGGGGCCTTATTCACTGACGTATAGCAGTCGGGTTCTAATTTGACACCTCAAATTAGCAGCCAAAGCAATAACAGCTGGGGTTTTTGTCTCAATATTTGTACCCAACTCGAAAGTGATTTGGCACTGGGTGAGCGTTATTTTTAAACACAGAGCTCTCACCGCCAAGTAACATTTTAAATGTTCTCCAGGTGTCATGTAAAACCTACAGAAATAAATAAAAACAATCAATTGCCAATTTAGGTTCTTTTTTTTTTTGGATGAGAATGACTCCTTAATAGGAGGTCTTATCTGTGATTCATTATAAATTTTTAAACTAGATTATGATTAGTGAAAACCTGCTTCTATTCAACCAATTGATTTCTTTGTTAAAAATAAAAGGTAATTCTATAGGTATTTTAAAATGTAAAATATGAAAAATAGAAAAAAATAAAATTTTGGATCTCTCCATCTTTTGGTTTCTTTCACTCTTAACACTGTTTTTATTCATGACTTCTATTGTTTCCAAAAGGCCAGATGCATTTTCAGAGATCACTGTGGTGTAATCGACAGAGTGCTGGATTTGGAGTAAGGAAGACCCAGGTTCAAATCTCACCTTGGACACTTACTAGCTTTGTAACCTTGGACAAACTACTTAATAGTTTGGACAATGCCTCAGTTTTTTCATCATCTGTAAAACGGGGAGGAAGTTGGATTACAATGGCCTCTAAGGTCCTTTCCAGCTCCAAATTTATGCTCCTATACTCTCATTTGTCCTGAAAGGAGGTACAACCCAATGGTAAAATTTAGAATGGTATGACTGCCTTGAATCAAGGAGTACCTTTGCTGAATGTGCTGTAAGTAGGGGATCAATGAGAAGCCAGTTTTCCCTATTCGATGCCATCACTTATAAAAATAGAAGCTGGAGCATCAATAGGTCCTACCAAAGTTATTAGGACCAAATTGTAAACACTACAATAAACTGGAGTACATAGAAAGAAGGATGTTCAGGATGGTGAAGGGATCAAAATTACCCATATAAGGATGGGGATATTTACCCTGGAGAAGAATAGACTTGGGTAGGGGAGCATGAATGTCATCTTTGAATATTTAAAACATTATGTATAAAAGAGATATTGTGCTTATTTAACTTGACTCCAGAAGGTAAACTAGGATCAATAAGTGGAAAGCACCACTTTATATCAGAGAAAAGTTCCCAATGATGAAACATTGAATGAAAAACCTCATGCAGCAGTGAGTTCCCTAATGCCAGAGGAGGCAGATGAGATTTATGTCTCAGGATGGATTAGATTAAGTGGTTTCTGAGGCTTCTTCTAGTCTAAAATTCTATGGAATTCAGAACTGCGAGAAACCTTATGGGTGCTCCAGTCCAACTGGAAACAACAAAGAGGGAACTGAGGCATTGAGAGGTCAAGTATCTTTCCTGAGGTCACAGAGAAAGTTAGTGGCAAAGTTCTTCCTATATGACACCATAGGTAACACACTACAAAGGGCAGAGAGGGCATATGTGAAGTGTTTAACATGAAAGAATAACCTCAATGGACATAGCTGGACAATTAAATGGACTGAAAGAGGAATGGAAATCGAATCGTGATAGATTCTATGTAGACCCCAAGTAGTGGAGGGTAGAGGGACCACACAGTGTACCTGAAGAAGCAGGGAAACATTATTTAGGAGGGCAGGCTCTGCCGACTGAGCTGTCTGGGCAAGTCACTTCTCTCTGCGCTTCATCTATAAAATGAGGGGCTCAGCGAGGTCCCTTACCAATCCAAGATTCAATGGTTTTACTCTGAACTATAACCCTTTAAAATTTTGTACTCTCTGCTAAATGATTGGGTGGTTTAAAGGTTTTATCAAACGAATGTTTTTTAAGACTAAATAAAAAAAATCCATAAGGAAAACTTTCCAGGTATAATACAGCAGGTAGATCTCTCCAGGAATATATCTCTGAATGCTGGGATTTTCAGGTTCTGTTTAAATGTTTGTATATAGTAAAATGTAGTTAAACGCCTTAGTTTCCTCTTCCTACCACCTCTCCAATTAAATCTCATCTCAGATACCCTCTATTCAGTTGGATTATTTTTAAAGGATTATTCTTAATGACACTTTCAATAGTTGTTATTAGGGGATAAGGAGTACTTAAGAGAGGCATATAAATAAATACTAAGTAAAACTCTCCAAAGCAAAGTAATCTCCATGTACTCTGGTAGTCTTAGCTTTGGTAATAATATCAGTTCTTTTACTAAAGTTCTTCTCTGGTACCTCACTGTGGAATGGAAATGACACTGGGTTTTCAAAGGCTGTATTAAACAGAGCAGAGATCCTGGCTGGGCCTTGGCCAAGCTGGAAAGGTTTCAAGTATGGGCCCAGTGACAGACTAGCTAGATGTCTTATCAGAAGACCAGCTCAGCTACATTTGAAGGTTCATTGTTAGAAGGTTGGCCACTGGATTATATATTATTTCAGACTCAGCAACTCACAAAGACCAGCCCTTAAAATGCAGAGGGCCTGTGACCTGTCTCTTTCTGGAGTGAATACCTATACTGATGAAATCATGGATCCTATGGAATACTGATCTATTGTAATTATTATTAACAACACAACAACAAAAGTGCTCCCTTCTACTAACTCACACTTACATTATAAGCTCTTTAAAAATATATTGTAAAATATTGTAAAATTGTATATTGTAAAATTCCTTAAAAAATTGTATATTGTAAAATTCCTTAAAAAAAATCTCTGTAACCCTGGCTGTTTAACAGTTGCTTCATTAATGTTTGCTGAATAGAATCAATGCTCTTTATTAATTTTTTTCTTTTTGTCTAGTCGTGTGATTTCATTGGTAGACTAGCAATCCATCCCAACTTCAGCCTTAGAGAGTTGGCTATGACACTGAGAACACAGGCATTCATAGAACATGGGCTAGGCCTGGTGACCTATCCTACCCATACTCTATGCACACCTAGGTTGAAAGGTTGCTTGCCTATAGATACATATCTATTAAGTTTTATAAACAAGACTAGAATCCAGGCCTTCTTGATTCCAATGCTGGCTTTCTATTCATTAAGCCAAGGTGCCTTTCATTTCATTTTTACGATAACCTCAGTAAGATAAGGCAGGTAAAGTCTCTCCCTTCCATCTCAATCCTACCACACACATTTTACAATAAGGGAACAGATACCCCAGAAGGTTAGCTAACTTACTTCTAATAACAGATTCAAACAACTTGCTTCACATAACAGATCTCTCATAGAACTCTGCTTGAACCCCCTCCTACAGCCTCATCACATTCTATTTTGCATCCTAGTAATTTGTTTTTGTCATGTTTTTCATACTTTAAGGGAGGTGACAATATTTTATGTATTTTTTTTTATTTTTTTTTCTTGGTACCCAGCTGGGGCCTTAAATTTGCTTAGTAAAGTGCTGGATAAAAGTTTGTTGAAATGAACTGAGTTTAAATGAAAGGTGATGCTAGATCTAAAACTCAGGTGTCCTCCATACTCCACACCAAGCCCATTATAGTACACTGTCTTTGGAATTCACGTCTTCCTTGTATTTGGAATTAACTTCCTAGATTAAAAAAAAATTGAGTGCTTAACTCCTTTGTACAGGGCAGAGCACTAGTGATATTCTTTTTATTTAATAAGTTTAATATTTGTTTTTCCTTATGAAAAAGACACTTCAAAAATTCACATAAATGCACTAAACTAACCCACAACTCTGGGTGAAGGGGATTTTGTGTGATTTCATCTATGAAAGGAACTTCCATTGAGGAATTGCCAGCATATCTGTGCTTCTGAAACTTAGAGTCTTACAGAGATGTCAGGAAGCACTGAGAAATTAAGTGACTTATTTAAGGTCACACAGCCTATATGCAGAGGTAGGATTTGAATCCAAGTTTTTCCTGGATACTAAGGCAAGATCGTTAACCATGCTATACAATCTCAAGCCTTAGGGGCTATTTAAAAAATATATCCTTGTGCATCATTGTGAGGGAGGGGATACCAGGATTCAAAACTTGGTTTTCATACTTACTTGATGTTATGAAAAAAATTACTCTATTTGGAGTTGAAAGACTGCAGCCTGAGTTCTAGATCTCTAAAACAAGCTAACTGTGTGACCCTAGGCAAGTCATTTCTCTGATCCTTAGACCTCAGTTTCCTCACCTGTAAAATGATGGGGTCAGACTAGATGGCCTCCAAGGTCCCTTCTGGCTCTAAATCCTATGCTATTTCTGTTTATTCTCAGGGGAGAAAAGGTTTCATTTCATTAAAGATAACATGGACTTTTATAAACTGGTCATTTTTGATTTTTCAGGTTATTAGGTGGTACAGTGAATCAAGTACTGGACTTAGAGTCAAGAAGACCTGAGTTCAAATCTAGCCTCAGATACCTACTGGCTATGTGACCCTGGTCAAGTCACTTTGCCTCAGTTTCCTCAACTGTAAAATGGGGGTAATAATAGCACCTACATAGCTCCTAGGGTTGTTGTGAGACAAAATGAGATCATAAAGCGTAAAGTGCTTTGCATACCTTAAAGCATTATATAAATCCTAGCTGTTATGTTATTATCAATGTTACTATTATTATTATTAGTCCTTTAGAACTTCCTTCATTATCAACATAGGTATGAATATTGGCTCTGCTAGTAAAATCCTGGGAAAGTCACAGGATACCAGACTCAGCCTCAGAGGCTGTCTTATCTATCCTTTCATTTTACAGATTAGGTAACAGGGCCACAGAGAAGTTAAATGATGGTCCAAGGTTACCACAATGGGATTATCAGAAGTAGAATTTGAACTCAAGCCCTTTGTCTCTAAAGCCAGTGTTCTTTCCACTGTCACACGCTGTCTCCCCCCAATTAAGTCAGAACTGAAGAGACCTTTGGGGCCTCAGTTGCCCTATGAGTAAAATGGGGGTCCTGATCCTTTTTCATGTCATGGAATACTTCAGCAGTCTGGTAAAGTCTGTGGAACCCTTCTCACAATAAAAGTCATACAGAAAATTACACAGGAAAGCAATTACATTGAAATATAGTTATCAAAATGTTTTAAAAAACAAGTTCATGAACCCCAGATTAAGAACCCTGGACTACATGATTTTTTCAAAGTTTTATATAGATTTAAAGAATTTTTTTGTTTGTTTTTTTTGGTGAGGTAATTGGAGTTAAGTGACTTGTCCAGAGTCACACAGGTAGGGCATGTATGTGTATGAGACTGGATTTGAACT